TTTTATATTATTCGACTAATACCATCCATGAAATTAAAATTGCTCTATTTAAAAATAATTTACATGAATATTGGGAAAATTTCTCCAATGGTTCACCACATCTAAAAATTCATTATTTGCTTGATGATCTTTTCTCAACAAATTCGACTCTTGGCTTAATTTTTGATACTTGTATTAAAGAATATCTAAAAGATGCATGGGAAAAACGAACACATGTTTTAAATGACCCTGCTAATAATGTTAATAGCTTATAGCTGTTTTTTTTTTTCTTTTTTTTTTCTCTCTTTAATGATTTTATGAATAGACATTGACTATACTTCTGTGGTGTTTTTGATATGTATGCTTTTACATCAGTTTCACATTGCATTTATTATATTATGTGCTTGTTTTTATTTATTTATCTATTTTTATTTACTTTATTTTATTATTACATATTTTTATTTATTTTTTTTTAAATTTATTTATTTATTTTTTCCCCTTTTAGTTAAGATTTTAAACTTTAGAATATTATGTTATTTTAATTGGATTTGGATTTTTCATTACTATTGTCTCTTTTTTTTATGAATTTATCTTTACTTTGCTTCCTCTGCTTTGAAAGAGAGAGCCAATAAATTATTATTATCACATTTACAATAGGTATCGGTACTGTACAACAAATGTTGGTCATGTAATAAGGTATACGCCTTATTTTTTTTTTAATTGTTCCTTTTATTTACGCCTAACATAAGAAACAAATCTCACCTATAAGAAACATCATATACAAAACAAAATAAACAAGTTGTATAACATAAATCACCTTCTTTTATGCTTACTTTGAAATATATATGCAGTTCACGACAATTATAAATCAAATCGGATGTTTTATACCGGTAACAGACGGAATGAAGGCTCTAATTCTAATGTTTTGTGATTATAATGATACTTGCAAGTAAGCCTTAAAGTAGGCCTTACTCGTATAAAATTATGAACATTGTGCTCACTGGATCTTTTGTTGAATTAGGCCTCCGAGCCCACCATCTAATCTTGACTATAATAATATGTAAAATTATTAAAAGGGCCGCTTTTTAATCAATTGTATCCGCTCAGTTCGCCAAAGATTTAATTTTCTTTCACCTTATTCACGGTCCATCGTTCGACACAACTGTAGCCCCTATTTAGAGATGCGTGGACGCGTCTAAACCTCACACAATAAAGATACAAATTGTTTTGAAAAAGCGAAAAAAAAACAATAAATTATATTATGTATAAGAATGCACCAAGTATGGAATAGGCATACTATCTCTTAGATAAACTTACTTTTAAGGGGAAAACTTAAAATTTAAAGCAACCAATATTTTAGATTTAGAGGGCAAGAAACAATCATGATCAAACATAGGTCATACACACACAGATTATGCCCATACAGTGGTCCACTGACGCAAACTACTGATTGCGATATGCGAGGTTTCACACAAAGGGTTCATCCAACCATAGAGAAACTTTCTCTATGATCCAACATAGATGAAAATTGTGCAAGTTGGCCTTGGAGCCCAGCCTATGGTGAAAATCTACAGTATTTGAGTGCATACTAGGCCTTATTATTATTTCAAATTTGTGAGAAAACTGATGTGTTGTGAGTGAATATAATTATCTTATCTTATATATTATTTTATTTTATTATTTTGTCTTGGCATCATATATACACAAGATGTAACCGTATTGGTAATCGTGTCAGAATCGAGTTTCTTGTCCTAATCATATGTTAATTGAACAAATATTTAATAATATTTTGTATTTTCGGACTAAAAGAATGTATTCTACTTCAGAATCTATTATCAATCACTTGTTTTATTCTTGCATTGATTCAACAAGGCTCATACAAGGAAAAGACTTTGTGTCTTTCTATCAAAATCGAACACTAGATCACAGAACAGCTGCTCACTGAGGCGGTCACAGACTTGAAAACAACGCATGCGCAAAATACGTTCTATAAGGATAATTATGAAAATTAATGAGATGTTACCAAACTATCCTACGTTACGCAAATTCGCTGCTGGCCAGGGGTGTAAGTGTTAGTAAAACCCAAACTTTGGGTTATCCGGTATTAATTGGAACTCTTATTAAAGGAACACCCTTATTAGTATTACATGAATGGAGCACTTTGTAATACAACCCTGCTGGCCGATTTAACACTTGTTATGGGAACTCCTTTTTATCCTGTGTCACAACAAAACTATTTTCATTCAAATTTACATTCGGCTTTTCATTTTAAATAAATGTTTTTATCTTTAAAATGGATGCAGTATAGCTATTTGTGGTAAGTTTTCTTAATTTCTAACAGTTGGGTTTTATAGGCTATGGTGGATTCGAGTGGGGGGAGGGGGGATGGGCAGCCGGCCCGGAACTGTAAAAAAAAAAAGAGTTTTATATTACATCTATGATATTTATAGATTACTATAGAATCGTTTACACGTCTGAACTCTGATGATGGTAATCAAGGCCAATTACATATTCTCTAATATTAACAATTTAGAAATTAAGTGTGAATACCTTATAGCAACGGTTTGTATGGTGATACAAATCAACATTGTTTATTTTCATTAACTATACCTGAGACAACTATACAACTTGTGTAGTTGTCTCAGACTATAATTGAGCCAATTTGAATTCATCTAAAAATCATAATAATTACAATGCCTCATTACTGGAATTCAAAGTACAGTTCTGAATTGAGCCAATTTGAATTCATCTAAAAATCATAATAATTACAATGCCTCATTACTGGAATTCAAAATACAGTTCTGAAGACAAGAAATTTGAATTCAATTAAAATTAGAATGAATGAAATAAAATTTATAAAAAATACTCAAAAATGTCTCTAAATTGAAATTCAGAAACGTATAGATCTAGACCGAAAATGAAAAACAACCTCATATAGTCAATTTTACTTTCAAATGAATAAATCCAAAACAGGTAATGTTAAACAATACAATAAAATATATTGTAAATGACGATACACAATTACGTTATTAACAACTTATGAGCTAATCAAATTAAAAGGCTGGTACAATATTACTCTGTAAGTAAAGTATATCAAACACTTTAATAACTCGCCTGTGTGGAATGACGCAGTCTTTAATAAAGATAATAGAGGGTGGTAGACTGTTATTTCTATTATTTCTTCCATAAGAACAGTTTTACTGCTCTGATTTCCATTTTCCATATACAAATCTAATAGATTTTTATACTCGATATTGTTATCGTTCGTTCATAATGGTATTACATGTTGGTGTTAGGATTATTAGAAAATTATACATGTTGTGCATTATAGTGAACATCTTCACAATATTTAATAGTACAGTCATGACAGTATAATAGTGTAACAATTGTTATATTATATCCGTAGTATCTTAATTAAATGTACAAATTAATGTAGGCCTAATTATGTCTGATTTTCTAATGAACTGAACTGTACTCTTTTTTAAATTGCTTTATTTTTTAGGGTAAAAGCACGTTGAATCCCAATCACAGGAGGAGTTTTTCTACTATAACTTTATTTGTATTTGTTTGAAGCTAGGCTCCGGTGAAATAAACCAATTAAATTCATATGAACTAAATTTACATGGATGTATTTTAAATACATTTAGTTGAATTATAGTGTCGTAGATTCAAATAAAAGCGATCTGCTGGATTTAAGTTGTAGAGTGGTATCGGGTGAATTTTAAATACAACCAGTGGCCAGTACACTCAGATAGAGGACCATACAGGCCCTCAGGTATTTTTAAATGCATTATTTTCACACATAATTTGCATACATAATAATATTTAGGCTAATTTGCATATGAAAGCGACAACACATTTTTTCGATTCAGCATGTTCTTACTCTATACTAAATTTACGCGAAAAAAAAATGAAAAAAAAAAAACAAACAAAACAAAAGGGAACATAAAACAACCAAGTCTCTACGAGTAATGACTGCTATATGAACTAGTTTTCAAAACCCAATTTGCATAGGCACCGTAATTAAAATAATTTGCATATGAACGGGGTGGGCAAATTAATGGTGATAAGTTTATTTCAACAATATAAAAAAAGCAAGCAACAACACTACGACCAATGGTAGCCAAGATATAGGAATCTAATTTCACACTTAATTTTAATCATTCTATGCTAATAAACTAAATGGTATTTTCAATCATTGTTACATTTTCCATTTATAACGTTTTTAAATTCCTACGAGATGTAGGTTGGGTGCCCTCCGGACATTTTCCCCTCGTACATTTTCACCAGGTATTTTCATAAATGTTAAAAAAATAAAAGAATCATGCTCAGTAAATAAAAATCCTCTCATATAACCTTATTTTTGCGAGCTAGCAGCGCATTCATGCTCACATCCTATGTGAACTGTGTACTATGCTCGGCTTACTGGCTTTTAATTTGTTCATCTGAAACCAGGGAGTCCCTGCTTCTACTCACTATGGAATTTATTGTGCTTTATCTTGCAATAGAATTTCTCTGCTTTTCGAATTAAACTTCTGAAATTAATTGTGGTATCTTTGCTGGTAGATCAAGAAAAAATAATGGACATTACTCCTCATACATCGCATCGCATACAGTGGCTGTAAAAATGCGTCATATTTAGAGCTTAAAATCGCTGCTCCATATCATATAGCGATTGAAATATACAAACTAAAATAGGAAGATGTAATTATTGGTGTAAAGAATAATATTTAAATCTGCTGCTTAACTAGGCTTGTAATCATTTGCAAATATATATTTGAAATTTGAATTACAACACATTGGTGATACCAAAAAGATAACATCACGATAATCATCTAAATTTAAATGGAGTTATTACGGTACGTAAATTATCTGGTTCCCTGATCTAACAATGAGTTGGAATATGACCATCATAGATTAGGTTTCAGTATTAGTAATGTATTGTTCAAAATGATAAAGCTAAGGGTGATAAATGCAATACAACAACATTTTTGGGATCAGTCTGTTTACACAAGGGTTCTCGCTAACAATGAGAATGAATAGAGCGCTTTGACTTTGGCCATAGAGGAAGCTATTCTTTCTAGGTTGACTGATGACTTGGCATGAATCACTGGACGCTAGCACTTCGATACAGATAATCAACAACGACCATATTGTGAACTATAGCCTGCTGTTAAGGTAAGCGTATTAATTCCACTTACAGTATTTGATACATGCTGGTTTAAAGTACTGTAAAATTAAGTCGACGGTTACTATACTGAGATACAGACTTAGCAAGGTATAAGTGTATTATCCATTGAAAAAATTAGCCACTCATCAGTATATATCACACTAACATGTTTTTTCAAAGAAATAAAGTAAAATACAATTATTCCAGCCTACCGACTATTCTGCAGCATATATATATATATGTGTTCTATTATATATATATATGTGTTATATATATATATAGCGATTTATGTCTGGGCTACCCGGTAAACTGGTACGAGGTATCGTATGTCCAAAACAGGCGTTGTATGAACCAGTACACCGAAAAAACCCTTACTTATATACTAGGTTCTTTAAAGCGCACATGAGCCAAATTGTGTACACTGGGCTTATGGTTTACAGAGCCGGCGGAACTTTTTCAAATGGGGCTCACTAGTAAAATGAATAGGAATATGAATCAGGGGATCTGGATTCAAAGTTAGGGGGTGGGGTCAAAATGTTTCCCAAAAACCACAAAAATGTATGGGGGAGTTCCTACCCCGGGAAAATTTTGATCGTAGATAGCGTGAAATGAGCTTTCAAGACTTTTGAGTTTTACCTGTATTTTAATGAACTTTAAGTTCTTCAAAATTTAGGGTTCCCTCCACCCCCCCCCCCCCTTTTTTCTCCACCCCCCCCCCCTTTTTTTTTTTTTAAACGGTCAGGTAAACTTGCTCATTTTTATAGGCTGTTAATGTATACATACATAAAAACAATTGCATAGTAGTTGCATATGTATTATTTTTCCCATTAATCGATTAACCCCAAAGATTAAGGGGTCTGAGGGTTCTCCCCCGTGAAAGTTTTCATTCCAAGATGTCGGGATGAGCATTTCCGACTTCTGTGGTGTCCTTCAATGACTTAAGTTCTTCAAAATTCAAGGTTTTCCCCTCTTGCAAACGATTCCATGAATCAGTGAACCCCAAAGAGAAATGGACGTTCGGATTCTCCCCGGAAAAATTTTGACTTCTAAATGGCCGGAGATGATCTTTGCCGACTTCAGGGACGTATCCAGGGGGGGGGGGAGAGCCGTGGGAGCCGCGGCTCCCCCCCCCCTCCCTTTGTACACAGTGTTAAAATTTTAAAGCTTATTCTTGAGCCAATACAAATTCTTTCCTGGGATCACACAAAATGAATACTTCTAAACATGTAAATATGCATCAGTACACGTTATACATAGACCTAGTAGAACACATAGGCCTAAGCGTGATTTAAAAAAATCTTAAATCCATAAATCTCAGGCCAGGTCTTTTAAGATAGAAATGCGATACTGTGGTTCAATTTCGTTTTTATCCTTTTGCAAGTTTCTTTAAATGTTTGTTTAATAATACTCACTAATAGTAATAATAATAATAATAATAATAACAATGATGATGATGACGAGAGTAATAATTGATATTAATATTAATAACAATAAAAATTGTGCTAAATGCGAAAAAAAGTTGTGATTTGTTGATCATAATATAGTACATATAGTTAAAGCTTAGTAAGCTATAATTAGGCCTAAGTTGTCCTGGATATTAAGTAGATCCCTGATAAAAGATCATGAGAAATTTGTTGGCGTTTCATTTTGACTATAATGGTAATGTGATGATGATGAATTTTACTATATAAAAGTGTCATTTCCGGCTATTTCGAGAGGTTCTATTTCCTCAAATTTTCTTACTTCAGCCCCAGCCATGATGGGGCTGAGGTGGTTGTGAAATCACGTAATTCACGTAGCCCTATGTAAAGCACATACTCAAAGACAATGTTTTTAAGCTTTTTTTCTATGTTTTTTTATTTTTTATGGTATATCACACACACATTAATAAGAAAAAGATCTCCATGGTTGTCAAAAATCCCTGATAAAAGATCATGTTTGTTTAATAATACTACTACTAATAGTAATAATAATAATAATAACAATGATGATAATGACGATAGTAATAATTGATAATAATATTAACAGCAATAAAAAGTGAAGAAAATTGTGCTAAATGCGAAAAAAAAGTTGTGATTTGTTGATCATACTATATATACTATAGTATGATCTTAGTAAGCTATAATTAGGCCTAAGTTGTCCTGGATATTAAGTAGATCCCTGATAAAAGATCATGAGAAATGTGGTTTTTAGAGGTCGAATATGAATTTGGGTATTAGCATCTCGGGTTTTAGTGAACTAAATAAAACTTCACTTGCTTCAATAAAACGATGATAAGGAAACATCAGTTACTGGTGAAACACCGACTATCTTGTATGTGGAGAAAGCGCTGTCTCTTATACACATCTAGATGTGTATAAGAGACAGGTACAACATTAATTGTGTACATTTTAAATTGTTGTTATTTTCTCTTTGTAAATTAATTAGTCATTAAAGAAAGCACTGGGAATGTGTGTATAATGCAGAACCACTTTAAGGGAAATTTATTTAGTATTGATTTATTTGTTGGTTGAGGGGTTGATAGATATATCGATCGATTGGTTGATGTTGATGAATGCTTCCTGTGTTTATGTCGACAATATAGACAGGCATAATTGTAAGAAATCTGATAAAAAAATTGATTTTTTTTTTTAATCCATTTATAATATTGCGCTTCAAAATGAATGTATGCAGCAATCGAATTAAAACTATAGTTAAGCTATATTTTTCTTCTTGTCAAAGTGAGCATTTAAAAAGATGTATCGGTATTTTTAACATAAAAGTCAAACGGGTCTATTGTTTATTTCAGTGTCCTCGTTGGTTCAGAGCTAAAACTTCTCGTCGATTCTAGACAAGTGCAAGCTGAATGTGAAAAGTATTGGGGACACAGAAGGTCATTCACAGCGGGGCCTTCACCGACAGCAGAAACCAAGCTACTTGATCTCGACAGGTCTCCAGTGGCGATTTGACCCTAACATTCATCGTTCGATTGCCAAATACAGCTACACTATAGACTTAGACAACACCTTGATGAATCACTTTTTGAAATACTGATGCGAAGTACAGTATAAGTGACCCTTTCCTATCTCCTGGACTCGCGGTTACAAACGTCAAGACGTTGAGTCACTCTTTCGATGTGATGGTCTTTGATAGCTATACTTCAGTCCGTTTCTGTGCTTCAACCAAAACGAAGATGCCGGTTTGAGAGCTAACTTAACATTACCGTCAAGTCTGAAACCAAGTCGACGACGCTCTTTCTGAAACAGCTTGTCGATTCTCTGCTTCTAAACTTATTTATTATCTCGACACCAAATATTTGCAGATGCTTTGGTTTTTAGAGGTCGAATATGAATTTGGGTATTAGCATCTCGGGTTTTAGTGAACTAAATAAAACTTCACTTGCTTCAATAAAACGATGATAAGGAAACATCAGTTACTGGTGAAACACCGACTATCTTGTATGTGGAGAAAGCGTTAGTGAAGACTCAAAAACAATGCATTGGAGACGAAGTATAATGCCTTCAAGAAGACTTCGAAAAATCATTTATATTGTGGCGGTGTCTGCTGTGATGTGTTTAGGAATATTTAGCCAATTTAGTGGGAAAGTAAGTAACACATATAAAACACATTCCAATCTAAGGTCTATGAATAACCAGGTGCTTTTTAATTCACCAAAACCGCTGAAACTTAATAAAAAGGACTCGATACATGATGCAAAAAATAGAAAATTTAATAAATTTTCTTCAGCAGAAAGCGTTTCGAATGTGCGTTATGTAACGCTTGGACCATTTAAAAAAACAAATTCAATGTTAACTTCATCAAAGATTTTTAAAAAAGAAAGTTATGAATTAAAGCGCGCAAGAGAAGGCTATAAACATGCAGTAAGAGGTCAATTCCAGTACACTCAGATGTCACTTGGTAATAAAGAAGAACAAGAACATAACAAATATTTTAATAAGGTACGATCGAGAAATGGACAGTATACAATAGTAAAAACGCCTGTGGGAAAATCTTCCGCTTTCGTCAAAGGAAGTATACGATTTTATAGCAAGCCAATCTGGTTTTCAGCAGACGATATTGATTCAATGGTAATACTCTCAGGCACAGATATCATGCGTATTAGTAATGCGGAGTTTTATGACGGCCTTCGTTGGAATACATTGATGTTTCCGAAAGATGATATAAAACCGAGACAGTTTGATCGTACAGAAAAACGGTCTAACTTAGTATTTTATCGAGGGCTCACATCAAGTCTACTGTCTGTGCACGAAGTTTTAGCATTTCATCTTGACCGAGTTCTCGGCATTGGTAGAGCTTTACCGAGCGTAGCAAAGCATATCAAATCAACGAGTGCAAGTACTTTAAATATTCCGGAAAATACTTTGCACTCTGTAATAGGAATTGATAGCGTAGACATTCAATCGGTAGATGGCCTTATTAAGAGGGATATATTAGAATGCAAAAGTATCCAGTTTACTGATTCAACGGCATCAAATAAATGCGGAAATATTGATGGGCTAGAGTGGGGAAAGCTTGCACTATTTGATTTCCTTTTACAGGTAAAGTATGATAATAATAATAATTATAATAATAATAATAATAATAATAATAATGTTTTATTTGATTTTTGAATTGGGCATATGAAGCTCAAATGTATTTATTGAACAATATAAAGTTACAGTAATCTCGTCATACTGGATTCTACAGGCCAACATGTCAAAATAATATGATGTAAACGGAATCAAGCGAGTTGCTCCCCAGACATTTTCTCCCGGGCATTTTCCCCTGTATTTTCCCCCGTCCTACCCCTGTCTCTTATACACATCTAGATGTGTATAAGAGACAGCAAGAGGTGACAATCCATCTTAGTATTTTATCGAGGGTTTACATAAAAAATTCTCTTCCCCCCTCCCATCATGTGTTAAATAAAACAAAAATTGAAATAATAAGAATACATGAAAATCAATTGCACAAGTAGGCTAACAACAATACTTACATGGAAAATATTTACCAAAAGTATCTAAATAATATAAGAAAATGAATTACTGATACTGAAAGTTAAAACTTACAAAGCTATAATTTTTACATAATCATTTTTATATAAAACTAAAATACTTTTTATTATCTATTTGAACTTATTTAATAATGCTATTCATACAGAATAAAAAAAAATTCTTACATTTTCTCTTTATAGTTCCTATTTTTATTATTAAATCAATTTCTTTTAATTATTATTATTACTGTTTTTTTATTATTATTATTATTATTGTTACCATTATTATTATTAAATTATGATATAAAGCTTTTGAAGACATGGATTATAATAGTTATACAAACAGCAATAGGAATTAAATACATTAAGCTATTATACGCATTATTTTATAAGAACACATTTTATAAGAATACGGAGGCTGAAAAATTAAGAAGAAAATAAGAACAAATTTTGACTTAGGTAACATGTCAAATGAGGTTTTCATTTTAAAAAAATAGAAAACCCACAAATCTTATCCTTATTTGCAGTAGTTGACCCCTGAGGAATTAAGTGACATGTGATACCATGAAGGAATACGTTTCATGGTAATAAATACCCTATAATACAGTAATATATTGCTGTAAAATCATAACTTTGTATGTTTGAAATGTGTATAAAATATGATGGAAATAAGAACATTTAAGACTGAAATCGGCCAAATAAGAACACTGAGTCTGGGCAAAATTTAGTTCATACCAATCAGCCTTCAGTCTCGCTATCTTATTGCACTATTGCATATCGTGGAATAACTACTTCCTTAAAATTAAGTAAATTGAAAAATTATAATGTGTTATAATTAAAATGTATAATTGTAAATTATATGAGATAAAAAGTCCAGGGGAAATTTTCATAGGGGGGTATTAGTCCGGGGGTAAATATATCACGGGTGGATGTCCGGGGGGGAAAATACTGGAAGCAACTTTCCCGGAGTCAGAGCCGACATAAATATAATGCCTATACTTCATAAAGCGTTTGACAAGTTCTTAAATATTTACTTCAGGGTCCATTCGGTCCATTGTTGAACATCCCTCTTCTAAAAATCTTCCACTTCTTTCTGTCTGTTTTGCTCTGAACCATTATTTATTCTCATTCTCATTACCACATTCTCAGGTCGTCTCTTCACCTCTGTTTGTTTTTCTCATTTTTTACCATTTCTGGGTATCCATTCATTTACTCTCTTTGTCTCAGAAATATATTATGGCAGGTATAACGCACTGGTTGCAATGATAATTATAAAGTCAATTTAAATCTCTGTTGATTGATTGACTGATTAATTAATTTAAACAACTTTTTTTTGTAACTAATTTTGAGGGTTATTATTAGATCAGTCTAATATTGATAAATTCAATATTTAAAAACCGAGTTCATAGTGTTGCCAAGCTTACCAGCATTAAATAATAAATTAACGAATGGAAATCACAGTACATCCGTTTATTTTCTCTTTTTCTGTATCGTCTTTGAGTTGTCAAAGTGGGCCCCTACCTATCAGCTATGCTGGAAAGGGTCACCAATTTTAAACATTGTTGAAACAAAAATAAATAAAATACATCCTATTCAAAATAGATTATCCTACGTAAAATATGGTATCATTTGTTAAACATAATAGGGTTTCTTATTTCAGTTTTTTTAGTAGGCCTATTTTAACTGTTTTACATTTTTATGTATATGCGAGCAAAGAGTTTTCTTTTAAATGATGAAATGAAATGAGTCTGAGTCCTTATTTCTATTCACTTAGATTCATAACCGTCTCAACAAACACTGTTGTGGCTTTCAACCAGATAGCGACGTCCAATGCTTGGCCGCCAAAGTTGGGTACTGTTCTAATGCCTCCAGCTTTAATATGGGCATTGTGCACAAATCTCGAAACCATAATCAACTAATTTTTCTAAAGAATGATATGGATCTGAAAAGTTCGGAAAACTCAACAGATTTTGAAATTCTTCGAGGAATTCGAAAGTAAGTAAAGCATAACCAATTAATCATGAACATTTTGTGTTCCTTACACCTAGAGATATTTTAATACTTAAAAATAGTTTAATTGGATTCGTACGGTACCTCAAATCAAATCAAATCAACATTTATTTCTTTCACAATATAACAATAAAAAATATATAATTATTAACAAATATCTAAGGTATTATATGTATATACACTATTTTAGTAAATATAATTTAAATTGAAAGCTTAGTGGTTTAAGTGACTGCCTTCCAATTCCTAGGTCCTAGGTTCAAATCTTGTGAGACGCTAAGATTCTTCTCAAGTTTGAATTTACTCAACTTCATAGGCCTCATAAAGATATTTATTTATTTATTTATTTATTTTTGTAAAACAATATTTCGTTTTTGTAATTGGCAAATTTTGTTGCAGTTGAATGTAACAGAATAAAAAAAAATAACCATGACTATTTATCAAATTTAATAAAATAAGTTCCTATCAGATCCATGACAACTAGTGTCACGACACGGGGTCTCCCTGTGCTAGTGTACCCAGCGACGCGCACAACTCGAACAAATAAAAAGTAGGTTACATTTATACGTGTGCATACAATTATTCTCAAGGAAATATTCATTTTAATATATAGTCGTTGATTTCACTTAAAATATAGTTGGAATTATAAATAAATTTGATATTGTTAAGAGGCATTTGTAATAATACTGTCTTCAATTCAACAGTTAATGGTAAGTATTTTATATTCTCTTTTAATGAAATTATATTGATAAGATAGTAATCCTTTGGCCGTGACATTGTTAACCTCGACTATTTATAAATGATGTGGAATGTATAATAAAGTTAACCTCTTATTGAAACAAACCTTAAGGGTCAACATGGAGGAATAAGTTACTCCGTTGGGTCAAAAGTCATTAAATTACCTGTAGAATTTAAATAGCTAGAAGCTAAATGCAACCTTAGAACCAAGAAATTGAAAAAAAAGCGACTCTTTTAGTGGGTCACTGTATGCGTATCAAAAGATCATTATAATTCAATCGTGACGTCATCACTGTAACTCCCAATGTTATTTGCCTATTCCCCAGCGTCCACTACAGTAATTTTTCTATTAGTGGACGCTTGGCTTGATTTTTTTGGGTTCGTGTGCAAAAAGGTTCGTCACCGCGAATACATCGCGCACCGCGATAAAAATTGAATTGTAATTGAAAATTACTTTCGTAAAACAAGCTTAATTAGAACCCAAAGAAAGTTACTTCAAATTCAATATTAAGTATGAACAATTAAGGAATTTAGTGAATAAATGGACCCTCATAAACACAACAAACTGAACGTTTAATAGGAATATTCTAGACCTATTTTACAGACTCAAGGAACAAATTTAGATGTAGGACCTGGCGGCCATGCAGGACTGCCGCCCCCGGCCTCCTCCTACTACTAGGCCGTAGCCTAGCCTAGTTATAGAATCATCGCACGATTTACCTGTCTGCATGCACCGACCAAAATGACGTCAGTGACTGTATTCTCTCTCGAATGCTGAAAAGTTTATTTCTTTGACGAAAGTCTATCAAAATAGCATTACAAACAAGTTCTTTCTAACACAATAGTTATTCATCGTATCCGTACTGTATTAATGATGTGTAGTTAATTAAACGCGTACTGCAGGAGTAAAAATCAGCATACGCACAGCTAAATGTAAATACGCACACGTATACTCAGGGGCGGATCCAGAGATGTCCAAAAGGGGGGCCGAAAGGGGGGCCGAAATTTGGGCCGATCGAGACAACAATGTCGTAGGGGGTCCAGGGGCATGCCCCGCGAAATTTTTGTGTTCTAGACGCCCGAAAATAACATTTGAGGCGTTGTGGGCTATCATT